GGCAGTCGTCAAGGCGCGGTTGATGGTATGGACCCGGACGAATTGCACGGAAAGACCCAATGTTTTCTTCGTGGACCCCGGACTGAAGGTGAGGCCTGGCGTTTACCAGTGAGCAGTCCGTGAAGAATATCATCCTCACATGTCGTCGCCCGAACCTTCTTAGAAACTTTGTACTGCTACAGCATTGGGGTGCCACCAAATGGAATCGAAGGGCGTTGGAAAAACTCTCGTCCTACTTGGAATGGAAGGGGGCTGTTACCTAGAAAGATGGAATATCCGAGTAGGTCACCTGAACTGAATCCCCTCAATTCCCCAGTTCGGCGGAGTTCAATAGGGTGGTCTACGGTGGCGGAGAAATCGACTATCCGGCTGATCTCAGGCAACACATCACGGTCGCATGCCAGGAATCTCTCGAATGGCGCTCGTCCAGAAGGCTGTGGCGGAGTGTCATGATAGCATTTAATATGCTCTTTAAGATGGTTGTGGAAATGTTTTGATCAGAATTTAATAACCTGTGACTCATAGCGCCTCGAAAGCCAATGAAAAAATGACTTTTTTGGCGCCCCTGTATGCATTTGAAGGGAATGTATTGTATAGACGAAAACCCTTAGGTTGGAAACGAGAGCACTATTTTGACTATCGGCAACCACTGATAACACATTCGACTGATCTACTTATGTCTTTGTAATCAACAATAGAGTACCTGTAACATTATGTTCATTTCTGAAATACACCTACAATACCCGCCGTAATTGTTCGAAAAAAAAACGAAAAAAGCGCGGATCTACGCTTTTCTGAAGAATCTCGAGCTCTGGTTCACTTAGAACTACGGAAACACAATGAGCCAACGCAGGGACCCTGTTCTCCTCAGTATTCACAAAAGTTAAGAACGTAGTGAAAAAGAAGGGTTTTTTAGCTAATTGAAGTGAGCGCATCGCGCGATACTACGGCCAATTGTTGAATTGAAGCGCTTTCAAGCAGGATTTCCAGCGCTCTGAGTGGTACCGTAAATTCCAAAAAAGAGATACATACGGAAGGGCTTGTGTTTTCCAAAAACACGGTGGAAAACAGTGACAGTAGTTGAATTGGTTGCTACTACCGGTTTCCAACTTCAAGTCTTCATTTCAGAACAAAAATTGCGCCTTTTCCACAGAAAGAAAACCCCTGTCAAAGTAGAACCATTTGAATCCCTATGAAAAATGTTATCTATTCATATAAGAATCACCTCATAAAGCTTTCTACGACCCGTCCTTGTTTCCACCGGCTACCTGCCTGTCTGCGGTCAGTCGACTCCCTAAGTAGTTATCCCATCGAAGTGTCAGGCCATTGTATTGATCAGTCTTACAATTTCACCCACAATATTATAATATTTCACGCCCCCCCCCTCTTCTGTTGTCTATTTCGCATAAAGTTCGTGAGGAGTGGTTCTAGGAAATGTGCTTTTCATTCAAACTTGAACTTTCATCAAAATTTCAAAAAATTTTGCTCTTTGGGTTACAAACTCCTCCATCGTTTAGGGTTCGTTTTTATGATGACTTTGCATAATAGGATACCGTGCATCAGCCAGCTGGGCGACGTAACTAATTGGGAGGCGAAGAGGATGGGCATTGCGGATTTGCCAGAGCACTCAGGATATTACGATGTCAAAAACTGATTTTAAGTTTTTTTAAGTAGCATTTTGAAAATCGAATTGAATCGTATAGAATTCACCGCAGCTTTTTTTTTAAAGTATCTCTTTTTTGGGAATTTACGGTACTACTCAGAGCGCTGAAAATCCTGCTTGAAAACGCTTCAATTCGAGTATTGGCCGTAGTATCGCGCGACGCGCTCACTTCAAGTAGCTAAAAGCCCTTCTTTTTCACTTCATTCTTAACTTTTGCGAATACTGAGGAGAACAGGGTCCCATGCGTTAGGCTCATTGTGTTTCTGTAGTTCTAAGTGAACCAGAGCTCGAGATTCTTCAGACTGAAAAGGCTGTCTCGTAGGAAAACGACATCTCGCAAAACCTGCCATTTTCAGAAAAATTGACACCGTTACGATCAGCACAATTTAGAAAATTCAACTATCCGATTTCTAATCAATTCTTAGGTCATACAGTACGCTATTTGAATTCTGGATGATTTGATTTCCAACGATTACCCTCTGGTTACAATTATAGCGAGACTCGCTCGCTAACGAGTGTCCTCAGGTACTTCGACCAGGAGCAGAGTTCATTTTTCAACTTTTTCAATTTTTTTGGATGCCAACTCATAGAGCTCGACGAGCTGAGTCTAACGGTATAGGATTCCATATGAGAAAGGGATACCCAAATTGAGTTACAGCGAAAAAACGAAAAAAGCGTAGATCCGCGCTTTTTTCGTTTTTTTTCGAACAATTACGGCGGGTATTGTACCTACTAGCTAGAAAGACCCTCATTAAAACGCTTTCTACAAGGCATCCTTACCATATCCATTATTTTTCTTATAAATGTTTATCAAATCAACGACAGATTTTAGCTATCCCGGGGGTTTATGTGCTACTGAACTCATGTGCCGTATTATACAACCCAATGCAATGTTACCGTTCAGATATTGTTTGTTAAAGGCAGTTGGCAAGATAATCCGGTACTCGGCCTAAAATGCTAGGGGGGCTGGCGAAAAAACGAAGGAAACGGCTGAAAACGAAACGAAGAAAAGCCCTTGCTCTTGAAAAGCAGCTTTGGACGAGTTCTCCGTTGGCGTCGTGCCAGTGACCGCTACTGTACATACAGCTTCATGCATTTGCACATATATCCACGCAGCACCGCAGCCGCTTCATACCAATGCCTTCGCTTCATAATTTAGTTTGCTAACGAAGCAATACGAGCACCAGTTACGGTCGTCCATTTGTGGGCGGGCGGGCGCGGTGGGCGTTCTGGTCGCTATGTATTAGCCTGATAGGTCCCTTACAAGGGTACCCTCCTTGGAATAGGCGCTCCGCCTGCTCAGGATGCGGGACTCCGACCTGCGAGGCGTATTAACCCTACTCGTCTCTAGGGAATTATCGTGCCAACTGCCTTCAAGTCTTAATACTACTGGGCACCTCAGTTATATGTTTATTTTCATGAAGGGTATTTTTATTGACTTTAATAAGCTGTTCGGCCAAATCAACTTCGGATTAATTATGTGGTAGTACCAACGTGTGTTATCATCACATCACGGCACATCATCGTTGGGGATTCTCCAAGAGGGGGGGGGGAAAGCATTTGAAAAGAAGTTTTTTTATGAGCGGTTTTTCTTGTTCCACAGACGCTATGAAGAGTTTCAACCCTTGTGGTGTTGGAAAATTTTTTTCCGGTTGTAGAGTTCGCGGTTTTTTATTTTGCATGTGCTACATACCACCTTCCCCGCTCGACAACCTTCTGGGAAAAGTAGGAAAATTCTCAGGAAACTCCGCAAAAGTGGTGAGAATTCGGAGGAAATCTAGTGTAAGTAAGAGTAAGAAAGTGTAGGTAAGATGGGAGGAGGAGGGACTCGGACTTTTCTTGCAGCTTTTCCCGCTTTACGTGTACAGTATACCCCTCCCCTTCTCCCGCTCGACAGCTCGATCGGAGGGAGGAACTAGGGCGGTCGCATCATACCATGTTTCAGGGGAGGGGGGGGGGAACATACGGACGCGACCAAAACCCTCAACTAATGATGTGCCCTGATCCGTATATCACGGAATGAACAACTCACTGCACTTACTCAGCAAAACGGTCTTCCATGACTGAGCGCGTCAGATCAGCCAACAGTGGGCTCAAGTTGCCCCACGAGAAGGCTACCACTGCCCGTTCCCATGCCAGGTACCAGGCAATCTTATACGTCTAGTATTTGGACTGAGGAAGCAGAGATTTTTAATTGAGTTTGACGTATTGGACCGACGCGGCTTGAACTGTTTTGCTCAATTAAAGGCACTGTTAAAGGCAGCGCTCGCGTTCATTTGATGTTCCCACGCCGTACTTAAATATCGTAGCTTTGTCGACAAGGGTGGAGGGTACTAATTTCGCAGCTCAAAAAACGAGAGCATGGCGCCACCGGATCGTGAAGAGGATGCCGACCCGCTCAACTGGCTGCCTAACTGCTTTGGCTTAGCTTTCAAAGGCTGACCCGCTCAATGAGTTATGGAGCTCATATAATACTCTAGCGCGGGAACATCAAATGAAGTGGGCGCTGCATTTAAGTAGGTAAGACTATCACAACTTGTCAGTCGTGGAAACTTAATCTGATAATAACTTATCTGCGAAAATCTAAAAAGGAAGCGTTCGGTATCTGGGTAAAAAGAGAACGCTAAGAGCGCCTAAGCGCACAAGAAGGATCATAACTAAGACGTATTTATTGCTTCTTCACCCATTTCCCTTCGTTTTACTCCAATAAAACCTTCCAAACGTTAAATGAGATGACCGCAACACCTACTCTAAGTCGCGCGTAATCGGCAAGCTAAGCCAAGGAAACGCCAGCTTCTCCAATGTGGTGAAAACTTCACTTTCTGACCCCAGGGCGCAAATACGACCCTTCGAATTTCACTTCGAATCTTTGTTGAGTTCCCGAGCCATTTGCTGCATTGCAGTCCATAATTAGGAGCGTAATCGACTGGCCCAAACTCACGATAATTCTAACTTTTCGCCCTCGTTCGTCGTGACGAGGTGAATCTGAAGTTAATCAGCCTTTCAATTTCCACACAAATTAGAAGCGGTATGGACTATATGTCCTATGCAGTTCCTCTGTTAATCTGCATACACTATTCCATAATTCTGCTTGTCTTTCATTTTTTTCTCATTCTTATCATTTTCAGAGCTCCTTTACTTTGTAGCCTTTCTACTGAGGTACAGTTAGAAATCAATACGAATTTTGTTTACCTCACAAAATTTACAGCATTGAAGATCCTTTCAATCACAATTAAATTGTGAAGGTGCCTTTCAGCTTATACGCGAGGCTGTGGCATTTCAGGTTCTCGCAGCACAAGTAGAGCAGGAGGAAAGGCGAAGAGAGAGGCATCGTAGAATGGAGGCTGAACGAGAGAAAATGCGACGGAATATAAGGGAAAAGGTAAGGTTTTGTTACCAAATTATAAATTTAGGAAAACAGACGGCACGATGTTTCTGTCTAATTGAGTGCTTCTTCTTAGGCTGAAAAAGGTCTGAGTAACGACACCAGCTTACGGCATGCCCAGTTGCGTATTCCGGGGCCGACATATGTAATTGCACGCGCAGTTTTTGAAAAGCACTGTGTCCCACCTTTCCTGACTTATAATCTTCCAGGTTTTTTACACCCTTTCATGATGTGCGAATGTAAAAAAAAGACCCGTAATGCTCAAAGTTCTGTGAAGCCTCGATACCTGCTCTGGAGAGCAGGTGTCTTTTCGTGTAGGTTAGCCTGCAATCCGATAACCCGTGGAAGTTTATCGTCTGCAAGAGAAAAACTACCCTGACAAACGTAAGTATTCAAGAATAAATCATGTACTGAACTTTAAGGAGCTTCTATTACTTCCCAGGAGTGTCCTTACCACTGAACGTGTGCATGACTTTGTTCTGCTTCAAGAGCGCGGATGCCTAGCCGTCGATGGGAGTACCTCCGATTACCAATTAGTCAGAACTACAAGTTTTGACGGCAAGAAGGGAGGGATGAAGTGAGGAACAGCGCACCTGAAACGGGCAAAAAAATCTCTCGGCGCAAGGTAGGGCCCCATCCCTCTCGCGCTGGCCAAATATCCTCTCTTGATGAACTTAGCTTAACAATGATGTACGCTGCGCTGGTTAGTTGATCATGCCGCCGCCATTACTCAATGGAATAATCAGCAGTATTGATGGACCTGCACATATGTACATGAATGTTTCCGCTGGAGGCAGTTTAGAGGTCCCCACAGCATCATTATACTCCATGAAACTCTAGTAGCTTGAGTGCACACGAGTCATATACCACTGAACTTCTTTCCAGTACAACTTGAAGAAGAAGGACACTCCGAATGAAAACGTCGAAGGACGGATAATGGGGATACGTAAAACGCCTGAGCAGGTGGCCCTCGAACAGCAGCAAGCAGATGACAGTAAGTTTTGTAACCTCAAGCGTTCATGCAAGCACTCCAAAAAATGGCCGGTTTGTAAGGCCGGTTATGCATGGGCCAGGCAAAATACGGGATGCAGTCCTGTTCGCTGCTGCTGTTGTTTCGTTTATGGCGTGTCAGGGGGCTGGGTTTGGCGCGGCGCCAAGTCGTTCTTCACCAGCTGTTGTCGCTCGCATGCTTCAAAAGCTGGTGGAGAACGGAATGGCGTAGCGCCAAACCCAGTTCCTCCCCCACCTCTCGAAATGCTTCTGCATCCGCAGCGAACAAGACTGCAACTGAGTTGTCATCACCGTGTGAGGACGAGCAGGTGTGACACCTTCTATCAGTTCTCGTTCCGGCTTGTCTGAAGTTAGTTCCACGTTGCATTGTCTTGCAGCGCTGTCGACCTACCCTTGTACACTCCATATTCCACACGTGGGGTGGGCGTGGCTATAAGAGAGGATGACAGTTGTTTCAAACGGAAATTGCTCACGAGAAAACGCATCCTACGCTGTGTTAGATGAAGTATGCAGTCCGCTCTCCTTATCCCCTGGGTTGTTTGGACTGAGTGTTGTTAATGACTTAATTTGTCTTGGTGCGAATATCGCGCTCAGCCAACGTGAAGCTAGCGCCTCCAGCCGCCGGTTCGATGAGTAGGAGTAGCGGGAAGAGGTCTGGAACGGAGCTTTGGAATGGCATTTTCATCCGTTTTACTTATTTGATGGCACTATTTTCCCTTTAACGACCCAAACCATCCAGAATTGAGCCCAGTTTATGACGAATTTTTCTCCGGGGGGCAGATTGACTCAAATGTTGCCTTCTAGGTAGGTATGACCCTCCTGAATACGAAAATCACATTCGCTCAGCCTCGAAAACTCCCTGGCCGCCCGCATCACAGGTTCCGCGCGATTGCGGTATTCTGCCCAACTAACGTGGCTCGAATATCGGCATCTGCAGTCATTTTATACCACTCCAGCGAGTGAATTTCATGTTAATGGAAAGTTAAACGCTCATCGTGGCCATTTTGATGGAGGTAATGGGAAACAGAATTGCTAATCTACTGTACCACTCATGATTGATATTGCGCTGTATTGGCTCTACTGTACTTTCTGTATATCTCACAAGGGAGGTCGTTCAGGCCGTGTGAGCTTTTTCAAACGATTTGTTGCAATGTTGTAGGGTCCATACAAGGACCACACAGATTGGGTTTCTTTTTTGGCTAAACACTATTGGGATTGTCAAAAAAGAAATAAAAAACAATCGCTCAAAATACGCCAAGTTTTATCATCTCATTCGCGATCTGTTTTAGCTGTAAAGCAGAATACATTAGAGTTTATAAAGTGTTTCCCAACTAGACATGAAAAAGAACATTGAATAAGGTCGAAATACAAGTGCCTTACTTGCATACAGTGAGGTACACTGCGCACTTTCGTCAGGGCTCATGCAGCATCCCTTCGCCGCTCGCAGTGGCCTTTTAGCGCCACGCTGCCCCAAGATCACGTCGGCGCCTTAAATAATTGTCAAGAATCGTGAATCGACCGCCATTGATTACCCCTGTTTAAGATGGTTTCAGTGAAAAAAAATTTCGAGTTTCTTTATGGTCGTGAGCTGAACATTTGATGAATGCAGTGACAGGAAACCCTCCGTTAATTATCCTCTCTGGCAGAACGAACCGCACAGAAATTTTTCATTCTTGCCCTCAACTTTAGTAGGTATTCATAGAAGCATGGTGTGCTAGCTTCGGAGCCACTAAACGAGCATCCTGGAGTACTTTCTTGCACTTTTTACCGTCTATGCTTTCGACAAAGAACTCGTTACCACTTGCCCGGAGAAAGTTTTTGTTTCTCATATCAAAGGTATGAGAGGAGTGCAGTGTATGTGCGTCATTTTTTTTGTGTATTTTTAATTCTGCGTCTGCATACTAGCAAATTAAAAGCTTCCTCTTATCGATGTTGGATAACGGCTCCTTGGGGGGCGGGGGGGCTGATAGCCACTAGCTGGGACAGTGGCCGGCAAAACTCGGGAAAATTTTTCTCGGCGTTAACTCTATACTAGGGGTAAATGGATGGTCCTGATCACGGTCAGATACTTATTTTGCTGCGGAGGCCATCTGGGGCCAGTATGGCGCTAAATAGCGCCCGCCGCGCAAACTGACAATGATGTAGTTACGACGAAATGCCTTTGCACCAAATTAGCGACACTATAGCGAAATATTCAAAATGAGTGTCGTGTTCACGAACAGAGGCATCGAATGACCGCCGTAACCCAAGTTTCATTGGAAGAAGTTTTTTCGATAGTATTTCGCGAGCGTAATAACTGGGTGAGCCTATTTGTGAACACATTCCCGCATGGAATGTGCCTTCATAATTAGGCTATATCCGGGTCATACACACTTTTGGGGCATACAGGAATACAAGAAGCAAGAACTGTGAAAAAATGCAAAAGTCGTGTCGCAAGGGTACTCCGATCCATTAAACACCACCTACCGATGAGGCCCTGTCGCACTATCCCACCACACCATCTGCCACTGCACAGTGGGATACAGGACCTGTTGAAAGAGATTATCGCAGATGACTGAAACCCTTCAATGCAGCTCACGCATGCCAAGTAGACCATTTTGATTTTGACCTTATTTTTGCGCGGTTTTTCATGTCTACTCAAAGGATGACCCTACATACTATACCCTATCAACCGCTAACAGCTCAGAGCAGAGGCGGAGTAAGGTGTTTTAGAAGCCCATCTTTTTGAATAGTTTTTGACCTTTTTTATGAATTCCAAGGACCGTTTTTAGCCAAAAAATGAACTCATCGCTCATAGCGTCCTCGCATGGACCCTACAACATTGCAACAGACCGTTTTGAAAAGCTCACCACGCGCCTGAATCGACCTCCCTTGTCAGCAATAAGTTATAGTATGGGCGATGTGGCCCAAATCACCACTCCTGCAGTTTTATACGTGGACTTTCGGAATGAGATTCGTTAGATTGCTACATCTATTATGATCGATCAATGCCGGATCATAATATGAGCAGCTCAGTGAAATTAACGAATTCCGTTTACCATTATAATGTGGCAGCTGGGCGAAAACCAAGGCCAGCCGGCGAAGCCGGGCTTGATAGAAGTTGACGCGATAATTTCCCCTAGACGAGCAGGATCAAAACGCGCAGCGGCAAGGACGCGAATTCCGCGACCCCATAGCAGGCGCTGCCATAATGCCTTCGCAAGGAAGGGTGCCCTTATAATGGCCCTATCAAGCCACAACGATTCCGACCCAAACGCCCGCGCGCTCGCCCGCCCACAAATGGATACGACCGTTCTGACGTCTGCTGATCGATTCATCTGCTAAGCAAATCAGAAGCGAAAGGATTGCTATGAAGTGGCCGCGATGTTGCATGGATATATGAATACACATATGCATCCGTACCTTCGGTAGCGGTTACTGGCAAGATGCCTACCGGAAACTCGTCCAGAATTAATTTGGAACGCACTGAGAACGGAAGCTCTTTCTTCGTGGTATTTTGACTGTTTCACTCCGTTGTTTTGCCATTTTCTCACTATATAGCGCCCTAATGGCATTTAAGGCCGAGCACCAAATCATCGTGCCAACTGCCTTTAAGAAAAGGAGGAGAGCTCGGCGTCAGCCGGGGGATCCGACTGGTATGTAATAGCATAATAATATAAACAAAGTGGTGGAGCGGAGGTAGTGCAGCGCGGCGCCACTTACATACCTTGTGCGTGGTCTGTGATTAGAACCCAGATAGGCACCCATTCGAGGCAACATGGCTTTCCATCCCTCCAGGCTAGATATATTCAAAATCCGCGTAGGCGTGGCTGCATGCTTCAACACTTTCCTGTTAAATTACATATTCACAAAGTCGCTTGGCTCAATGCATTCGCTGAAATGCAGCTATTCATAAAGTAAGTTAAATAGAACGATACCAAAGAAACAGTTCAATCTTATTAGACATTTTTACCGTCCTCTGAATGGCATGATCCATTTGCGGGTTGGTAGCGTCTTGATCTGCCGTGAGACTTGCATGATTCTCCAGTCCCAGTTCTTCCCATAGCCCTACAAACTTTGTAAATGATTCCAGTATAAAGTGGTAGCGACATGCTCAATTGCAATATCCTTCAAAATTCGTCGCAACAACGACTTTAATCGCTCAACGCAATTTTTTGGAGAAGTTTTTTAGGCGTGCTCAAATTGAGCAGACAAAATTCTCATGTGCAATTCAAAAACGTTTGACAGATCTATTGAAGAGCGTGCGACTTCATTTAGCGTCACTATCTGACTGACTTGTTTCAGGTTTTTTACGCTACTGTAGAACGTAGTAGTTTGCATATCTGCTGACAAGTACTGTGCTTAGGTATTGTTGGCCAACTTGGTCTAACGGAAGCGCTAGAGAAAGCAAAAACGGCAGTGAATGGAGCGATGGATACAGTGAAGGGCATATTGCCCTTTGGACCGTTTTCAAAATGACCTACTCTACTCATCTTCAGATTGACCTTTATTACATGAACTGTAACTAGTTTATCTGTGTCCTGATTCATAGTTATACTTTGTACATCACTCGAGATCATTACTGTTCGCTAGTAGACGTACTTATTTGGATGGATCTTTGCTGTCAATAATAAGCTTTTATTCAGTAATCGTAAGTATATTGTATTCATAAAACTTTCTCTTCTTACAAAAAAAACCACAGTCGAATAGATCACAAAAGCAAATCAGAAGGATAACAAAGCGAAAATGACAAGGACAATTCCATGAAAATAAACATGCATTATTAATAGAAAAAAACAATTTAAAGCAATCGAAAGTCCTCAGTATTGCATAAAAAGTCGATAAAATACCCGCGACTGATTGCATACAAACACATAGACCCATAGCTACATAGTACACAACTAGCGCTATTATTTTCATCAGAATCTAAACTACGTGATTCGTTCATGTACAGGTAGCGCAAAGCTGTGAAAGCCACTCCTCAAGTACTTCTTCGAGATCAATTTCCATAGCACAAACTGAGCTTTTTCTCGACGTTCCTTCATAGAGGGGTGAAAGTGTTGTCTAGGGGGCGGAGCAGCGGTCCCAGCCTCACAGGTGAAAGGCCACACGTCTAGAGTGCCTGTGGGTTTGACCCATGATGACGCCTACACAGCAGTCAGAACAGTTTGACTCATAGCGGGCCGCTTTCTTATCATTGCTTGTGCAAGTAGTGCTTTTCAACTACTATTTCTGGGACCTTGTTTGCGCAAAATTTGATGTCCTCCAGCAACAATGAAAACAATAGGAGTCTGGTCGTTTGGTATGTCTTCTAGACAAGGACCATTTCAACAGGTTTTGTATCGGTTCACAGAGCCAGCACAAATTAGCGAATTGACAAAGTATGATTCTCTGAGGTGTCACAACTTTCAAATAATACCCGATGTATTTACTATCAATACGAGCACTTAAAGGATTTCGTGAAATCGCAGGAAATTCTTGGTTGTGAGCTCCTGATGTTCCCTGAGGTTTCCAGAAATCCATGGTTCTCTATTAAAGTATCTCACACAGAAGGTAGATATCGATCGTCGTCAGCACGTTGCATTAGTAAAGCTTCGTGCGCATTTTGTCGTTGACGTAAATTATCGTCACGACGTTTTTGTCGTTTCCGATTTCCGAGTACCAAAATAACAGCCGTTAATAGAATCACAGCGACTAGGAGACCAATGACGATATATGTGGCTAGCGATGATGGTATCCTCATACCGAGAAATGTGAAGAGATCCTGAAAAAGGTCAGAACGTCACAACTATTTCAAACATATCGTATACAGAGCTCGTCCTGCTGCTGAGGAAAATTTTCGGAAAATGCGACCTGGCCTCAAAATTCCCTCCTTTGGTACAACCCTTCCTCTTCCCCATCCTGGGACCACTTTTCCATTTTCTTAGATTTTCCCCAACTCCCTGCCACAACTGCAAAAAAATCTTTCTCAACGCTACAAGTTTCTCGCAGACTGAGAGGACCCTCACCTCACCCAGTGCCCGCGTACTACCCAGTGGATTCTCCAACGTACGACGTGTCCTGTTCATTCAGATACGAAGGCTCCCCAGTCAAAAAATCTCATGTGCGCTGAGCTTTAAGCATTTTCTAGAGCCCAAAAATCCCCACAAGTCGCTGAATCACGATGCCCTGTGTACTGTTTCAATTGCCAATAAGCAGACCGTGACGGTTTTGTGATCGAACGAGTTTCAAATTATACCTGACGCCGCTCATCACCCGATTGTGGGTTTTGTCGCGCTTGAGCGGCTTCGATTTGAGCAGGGCTGTTACGTGTGTACAGTGATTTACATATATGATATGGATACTCGGCCGGATTGTGATGACACACGCAAGTGGTATTCGATGAGCTACAAAAGAGAAAATTTTATCAAAAAAGCAACTTTGGATTTTTTTTTCAATTAGAGACGAAGAAAATTTGCGCGAAAATTACCTGAATACTGGCTCGTTGTTTCTGCATGTCAAGTGATCACAGTATAGTCACGTCGGCTGAATTGAAACAGCATGCTTGCACCTTAATGATCAATTAGAGACGTTACTCTTTCTGAGGCATGCAGGTGTACCTTGACCTCGGAAGACCCAAAGCTCGATGGAAAGGATGTGTCGGGAGGGCATAATTTTGGTGCGCAGAGCGCAACCCATGCCGCAGGTTTCGCTGCGGAAATTTTAAAGAAAGGAGATGAGGCGCGAAGTAGGTTCAGTGGCTATCTCCCATTTTCCCAGTATGCTCACTTTCCAGACCAGGCTTTTCAAGCACACTTTCACTCAAAAGCGATTGCTGCCAGACTAGGCAAGCATAATTGGATGTTTGAATGTCTCTTATGGCGCCTTTAGCGGTGGATTACAAGATCAGCCCTTGTCTCCTCCTAACACGCGGCCCTTTGGCCAGTTTAGCTTCCCTCTGCCCTATTGTTGTGTTTTGTGGGTGTGTGTTGAGGCTGGAGGGGCCCACTAGAGGACGTTGCCAACTTTCCTGCCTTTTCTCTTCGCAGGCACGAGTCACTTACAACTTCTTTCCGATATTAGAAGACCCTACCTAGGCCCTTATCGCGAACTACCCCTTCAAATCAGGAATGGCTCTGTAAACAGCTAGCTCCCCAATCTTGAATTGTTTTTTCTTAGTTATGGCAGCAGTTAGTTAATTGTTAATTACAGTTGGGGGCAGTTAATTAGCGCTTAACTTAAAATTAACGTCATTGCTGCGCTTAGTTACTTTGATGACCGTAGGGATTGATAGTTTTAATTCGAGAACTAATGTGATAAATTTTAATTTTAATAGCTTTTTTGCTACGTGTATACTCAGTGAGTTCCATGAAACAGTGAAACAGAAGAATGCTGCAAGGAAAAACGAACCAATAAGAAGAAATTGGATGTATGCAAAAAGAAAACATTTTGTTTTTTTTTTCAAAGGAAGAGTGGCTACCTTCCCCCTCCCCATTTCCTTCATCTCGCTCCACCCTCTCCCCTTTTACGACCCCTCTCCCCTATCTTATCCTGACTACTCATTTCCTAAGCGTTCCCACGTTCTCATTATCAGCACCCTCCCACGTTTTCCAGGAGATTCCAGTTCCAACTAGCAGGCTGGGGATTGCAACTGGGAGCTTCTTCTGCCAACCTTACATTGCATTCAGCCGAAAAATCCTCAAACATGGCATTCCCTGCTCGAAAGTAGTGCTAATAGAAACCCTTACCTCTTGAGCGTTTTGTTTCGTTCTGTTTCTGTTTCTGTGAATCAGAAAATCTTCCATTCATCAGGAATCCAACCCACTTTTGTTTTTTCGCAGTTTGCAAGCATCTGGTGATAAAATTTGCTGACATGTACTTACCATTGTCGGTCGAATTCCTGACATTTAGTAAAAAATCCTCTCCAATTACAAAGCCTGATTTTTAAAGAGAATGACAACCGACCTGCTATACATATCGTTGGATTACTTGCGTAGAATATGTCCAGGGTGGCAGTTGCAACGCGTTTGCGGTATAATTGCAGAAACATCGAAGTTCCAATCGGCTAGATAGACATGAGCAAAGGCGAGTTAAATGCTAGCAGTTTGACGAAGCATATGGATCAACACTCGTGGACGGCGGAAACACATCTGCTAATGCTCGAAGAGCCTCACAAATTAAAAAAATATTTTTGAAATGGGTTTGGTAACCTCAACTGTGACCTTTAAGGTCAATTTCAACTGGCCAAAGTAGCGGCACCTATATTACCAACATGCCAACAGGTCTGATTTGCTAAACTGATCGGATCGCGTCAACTAATTTCTTACAGTAACGGCTGGAGTTCAAGCCCCTGTGAAGATGATTACTGATGACGCTGGAAGTAGTCGGATGCGCGCGGAACCGTGTACTTACTTATTACGTGGGAGTCCCATAGTTTTTCCATGAAAGATATACAGAGAACACCCAGACCTGAGCCCGTAAGATTAGATCCCTGCCCTTTTTTCTTGTTTTAAAAATGCATTGAGATAATAATTCTGATATCATCATTACTGCTGATATCGTCGCAATCAGTTCGGAGCCTGTCAATGGAGGAGCGGTATTGGCGCGACGCAATCGCCATGATGGATGCGGAGCGGCCGTCTCTATGAACGGTGGGAAACCGTGCTGCGCGTTGCGAGCCAATTTTCTTTTCATTGACCACGGCCGAACCTATTTCGTTTATTAAATTGTGACAGAATATACTGCCACCACTATTACATGATAGCCAGCTAGGAGCGTTATCATCATGACTTTGAGGGACCTATCTCAAATCTACCGTACCACTCCACCACAATGAGTGCTACACCATACAGCCTTCAGATTTCTGGAGACCCATTCTGCCAATCACGGAAGGTGCCACATGGAAACAGTAAATTCCTGACGGCTTAATCTTCTTATTACTCATCCACTCTCACAAATGCATCACCCTGTCAACAAACCTAGGCGATGCCACCTCCCAATCGACTGAGAATTCTGGCCCCTCTCACAAACTCAACGCGTTGATTCTCCAGCTGATCATGATGCATGGCTAAAGGCATACGGTCGCCTGACCGTAAAGGTGTAGTATCCCTACAACGAGCGCGCGAGCGCAGATCTTACAAGAGGCGTCTGCTTTTGGCGCGGCTCCATTCGCTCCACCAGTAAATTGTCGCTATGGCGCAGACACCATTTGACGGCAAATGGGGCTGGATGCGCCCGCCAAAACGTATGATACTTAGGCTGCCCCAGCCCACTGTACATATACTTTGATAAGAGTTTCCCATTACCTCCCTCCTTTATCCAAGATTTGCCGCCCCGGCTGGAGGTACTCACCATTCGCCATTGATTTTCGAGAAAAATATGAGAGAAAGTCACCAAATGTGAGCTCGATTTACCTGCAACTCGCCAATGAAACCGCCTCGCATGCTGCTCCCAACATACGTTGGTCTGTGAAGGCCGTTATAGCAGTCAACAAGGACAGT